CCAATTCTTAGGGGAATATTTTCACCCCTACCCCTTGACACTCTGTTTCAATGGACAAGGGGAAGGGGTAGGCGGAGGGGTATAAAATAGAATTGGGATTGGGCCTAAATGTCAACCACACAAACCAGGTCTTAAGCCTGGATTCACCCAAAAATAAAACCATTTCTCATTCACTCATTTTGTTCCAGACATTTTTCTGTGGAAAATTATTTTTTTTGGTGAACTATTCTTGTCATCGACTGCCCTAGGAGGACAAGCAAGATAGAATCATCTGACCTTGCTTCCATTTACCCGGTTCTTTATGGAACAGAAGGAAACTACAGGCTAGAGAGGCTGTAACAATGAGATGACACCTCAGTTACCTCAACACATCTAATTTAGGCTGTGCTATCCCACAGAGGTATAGGGAGTGTCACTGTGGTAGTTGTAGTCTGGGCAGACCTTCTGTACTAGCTTGTAGTCAGCACTGAAGAAGTCAATGTAGATGCAGATGACCTTGAAGGGCTTGGAGCAAAGCCAAGACACATGGCTTTGGGTCTGTTCCTGGAAACATACCCTGTTCGGGAAGTCGCTGCAAACGGACGTCCTCTTGCTGCGGTCCGTCTTCTCGTATTCCACTCGACAATTGAAGGCCTTATTGTCTTTGGGTACCTCTATGGTCTCCTGTTGAGTGATCTCAAAATCGACAGCCTTGGAGGGCGGGACCAGGCTGACGGACACATTGCCCAGGCCGGTGGAGTTGTGGCGGAAATAGACGCTAAAGGTTCCGTTGCCATGGTCAACGATTTTCCCAGTAATGAGAAGGTTTAACTTGACCGTTTTAATGTTCGAATGGAAGTCGCCCCAGCCAAACATCTTCTTAAACTTGCCCGTTTTCACATAGGGGCGACGTTTGGCCCTCGAGAGGGTTCCTTCGGTATCAGTGTGGTTGGATAACCAAGCCCACAGATCCAGTGCCCCGGGATCCGGAGCAGTTTCACGGCTCTGGCTGTTAGATTGGGACGTGTGGGAGAAAAGCCGCAGGGATTTGAGAAACTCTGAACGAGAGCCGTAAGGAGAGACACTTTCCTCCTTATCGCTCTCTTCCCAACCCAGAGGAGACACAGCTGCTCTGAGCTCTGCTCCACATGCCACCTTCAAAGACAAAACCAGGAAGAGAAATGTTAAACGAAGAGGTTGTAGATGCTAATGTATCTTAAGAAAAATAAAGATCCAATCCAGTCCAGTGGACAAACATAAAGGTTTTTCCCAAAGACATTCAAAAACTACTCTACTTCCATATTTCTGCAGAACTTTTATCTATCGAGTTTTAACTGTGCAAATAAAAAGAAATTTCAGATACACTTTGGGGTTTCTACGATTTTTACACTAGTGGAACCCTTCGGAGAACTGCTAGGATACCTTCTGAAGGTGCTTCAGATATACTAGTGTGTACACAAGGAACTTTCCCTTATGATGGGGTTGCTGGAGTTTCCACACTCAAAGTTCTTTACTGACATTTATGATTCCATGAAGAACCTTTAATATTCATGGAATCTTTCCATTCCACAAAAGCCTCTTTATAGTGGATTTTTCAATTGTTCTTCACTAAGAAAAATGGACGCTGATAGGTTCTTTGGGGGAACCAAATGGTTCTTCTATAACATCGCTATGAAACCTTTACTTTTAAGAGTGCAATATAAGAGTTCTTGCAGGAACTAATTTCCATTTGGAATGTTCTTCAGAGAACTTCCCTTTTAGAAAGGGTGCCTAGAGGTTCTCCAGAGGGTTCTACCAGCAATCTAAGAAACCCTACATAATGCCTCAAGCATATTTACATGAAAAGTGGTCAATCCATACCACTGTTAAAATGAGAAGATGCTTGAGGCACCATCCTGTCAAACCAGAAAAACGCTCTAGGAAATTGTAGGAACACTTTTTAGGTTGCCTCAAATACCTAGACCACAAATGTGTACTAAGAAAGAAATGAGTTGCCTTTAAGCATAAAATATTTAGAGTTAGTGAACACTTATATTAGGTTATTAAGGTTTTAAGAATTCCCCAAATTCCAAACACTGATGTGCCTGTCCACATTTACACCTCACATGTGAAATTATAAATGAATAATTACTACAGTATAACATGAATAACATTCCAGCTAGTATATAGACGAAATCAAAGGAGATGCATCACTACATAAATAATCAAAACATAAAAAGAGGATGGGAAACTGAAAGATGCATGAGACAGCCCTGTTTTAAATGATGCAAACAGGATGTAACATCTCCGAAGTATGAAACTGTTCACTGCAATGCAAGTTTACTACTGACACAATAAACACTATCTACCTCAAGCCTAAGACAGTGACTCCCACACAGTCACACACCCAGCAAAACTGGTTCCTAAAACACACCCATGACGCTAGCTTTTTTAGTCTGGAGTTTCATATTATTACTACAGCCAATCAATGTGATTACTTTGTTTTGCACTGCAGAAATGGTGAAATATGAATGAACGGAAAACAGCACAGGAAAGACCAAAGGAGCAAGATCAGGGAGGAGCTGCCCTACTCTCATTCTCGCCATCTTTCAACGAAGCTCAAAAGCCTCTCACATATACTTTCAAAGACACAAATTGATAGAACGAAAGAGTGTATATGTCCCAAAGGCTGTTTAGTCCCCACCTCCCCAAGTCTCAGATTTCTCCATCATTTCTCTTTCATTTTCATTCTCAGAAATAAAAAAACCAAGGGGGTACATATTTAGGAGACACAGATAATTTGTGCGTTCACTTCATAATTCAAACCAGCGATGGTGAATGAGAAATAAAACGTTCAGTGCGTGAAAATCTGCTGTTTGTTAATTTTTTGTTAATCTTGCAAATTCATGATCCACAGAACAAAACAACTACCAACATCCTCTGGAGAGACATGAAATGCCAAATGTATAAAACGAAAAAGAAAAGAAAAAATTAAGCAGAGCAAAAACAGGTTAACAAAAAAAACACGTATTTATTTATTTTTATTTATTTATAAATTAAGAGATTAGGGACTGAAATAAATACATTTTATTACAGTTCAAGGATGGAAATAAATTAAGGGAAAAAAGAACTAATGATAAAAATCTGACTTTGTGATTGCAGTGAAAACAAACTCTCTTGAGAGAGGACTTAGGGCTGAGCCATCATCACAGGTTGTCATTTCATCTTCATCTGGCTTAAACTGGTTTCTGGGATCAAGTCTTAAACGGTATG